GTTTGTGGCAACATTATATGGTAAGAATTGTAGTCTTTAGTCTCAAACAATGTGAGCAAGATCCACTTCAAGTGTGACACTATCCTCAAATGGTACACAATCTGAGACATGATGCAAAAACACCTTAAAGAAATAGTCAAAAAAATTGTTTCATAAGTTTTGATTAAATAATATTTTTTAAATTCAGTTGTGATAGTGAGCTGAAAACTGTTGTTGATTTTGTAGATTGTGTTGGCAGTTCTGGAGCAGGTAGCAAGGAAGGACATTCATTGGCTGCCAAGGCAATAGAAGGTTTGATATAATCATATAAATCTAAATGTATGGTATTTCACTGTTTATATAAATTGTAGAGCTAAAATAATTTTTGAGGCACCATTGAGTCGAATTTTAGCAATATTATATTATAGTTTTTGCAACTTGCCTTAAATTTTCAGTTGCAGTTACAGAAAACATGTAGGCAGTCATGAAATCACCCAATGCAGGGCTTCTGAATGTGATTAAAGCAACTGTAAAATGTTTTTCAGTTGGAACTATAGAGGAGGAGCTGGACCACCTGATTGGTGCAGAAGCAAGTAAGTTATGTTCTTCTAAAACTGTGACTTGACAGTAAATTTTAACAATCAAATTGTGACAAAAGTGTTTTTTATTGAGACATTTGGAAAAGGTTAGAAAACATTGTCATCATTGTCATCATTTCACCTTCTGTCCATCTCTCTCAGGGCTGTGTAGGTGCAAAGTAAATAATATTTTAATATATTATATCTCATTTTCTGTAGACCCAAGAAGTGGACCTGCATATGATTTACAGGTCCTCTGAAGACTCATGTCTGTTCACAATGTCCCACAAGTGGTGCCATTTATGTGCTTTGATGCACGGGAAGTACGTATGGGAAACTGAAGTTTGCTGGTGTTGTTTTGAGGGAGGGAACAGGGTGGGGATGGGGGTGGTTTGAGAGAAAATGGCTTTTCACTGCCTAAGGAATGAATTCCTTGCACGATTTCAGTAATTTGAATGGTTTTGTTGTTGTTTAAATAACAAAACAACAACAGAATCAGGAAAAGCTGTTATGCTAATAGGACACAGGTGACATCTTTGTACAGTAAGCACAGAACTAAAACAAGTATGTGTAGATGGTCAATCAAAAATGGTGTCAGGTATTATGAAAAGTCAAGAATAAAGTAAACACTTACATGTAAACATTTTCAACACAGTAAGAAACATGGAGATTGATCTAGAATTAAGCTCCTCACTAGCTATTACTTTCACTTCCTCGGAAATTGAGGACTGTAGTGTGTGTGTGTGATGTGTTATAGTTTGTCATTGCTCATTCTTTATTTTATTGAGAACTATGTTTAAGGATTACCGTAGTAAGTCAGGAACAAAAAAAAATGCAGTTATTACAGATTGAAATTATTCAGTGCAGAAATTAAAAGATATGCAAATCAAGCTTCGAGCCTGGAAGTCAACAGTTATTGTATGCTTCTAGAACAAACTGCCTTTGTCAGTAAATTACAGTCACTGTGATTACAGATGCATGTTGTTCACTAGGCTCTGTTGTTTTTTAACCCAGGTGAGGAAGCAGTGTCATGCAGATAGCACTCCTTTGGTGCTTTTTCGATACAGGCCAACAAAAAATGCCATGACTACATTAAGGTCAGTAAAGATTTACACATGGTCATGATACCCAATTGTTGTACTTCCACTGCAATATAATTGATAACATTTAACAGTTACAAAAAAATTAACATGATTGTTTATCTAAGAACTTCAAAACCATGTTCTTATAATTTAGTAGTTATGAATATTATGCCAAGCATTAACGATCAACCACCTAGTACTTAATTTACTTAGTAATGTTGTGGAGCATTCCGACTAAGTGGGAATGAGTAAGCAATCCAAATAAAGGCTGGTTATTTAAAAAATAATGTTTATTTTCAGTAACACATTAGAAAAATAATTATTGCATTGAAGGAGATAATTAATTAATGTTTTCTTTGTACTTTCAGATCATTACTGACTACAGGCCTACTTGAGTTGTTGATGAAGTGTAACCTCCATGCTGCACTCCAAGGGAGTGACTTTGATGACAAGGGTAAGCATAGGTAGCAAACCTTAATGACTCCCTTTACTTTGTCAAGACAGAAGTGAAACCCTCACGCTAATTAATTAGTAAATTAGATAGGATAATATTAATTAGGTAACAGCTATTGATAAAATTGTTTTAAAATTATGTGAGACTGCGCAGATTTTTATTTAGGAGCAGTGCCTGTCTTTGATACATTTTAAATGTAATTGGACACTGTATCAAAAAAGTGGCTTCAAATACACCACACAGGGGTGTTCATATCTAGGGCTGTAAACCGTAGCACATGTTGTAGGTGAGCATGCTTGATCGGTCCTTGTTGCTTTGGGAGAACTGGGCTGTAGCTGGTACAATTCAACCATAAAGTAGCACGTTTGTTCCAGGTGTGAAGATCACGGCTACAGGTGAATCTCAATTTTAATGACAGCCCTGACTACAGGCAGTCATATAAAATAATCCTAAAACAGCATGCTCCTGACCAGTGTTATGAATATTATGTCTTATGTCTATACAGTTTGTGAAAACAAAAAATCAACATCAACATCCACCAACATGGATGACATGGAGATAAGGATACTGTATCCCACATTATCTCTAAACAAAATGGTTGTGGGAAGTATCGTGGCAGGTT